CCTGCAAAACTAGAAACGGGGGGAACGTGAGCCTTGCACGTCGCACTGAAGACAAAGGCCGCGCCGTGCGTGGCGCAGGCACTCGCTGCGCTAACACTACGGGCGCCAGACCTCTCTCCACCCACAGGGTCCTCGCTCCCCAGACAGCGCTGAGCGTGAAACGTGGCCGCGCTCCGCGTTGACTCTCATCCCAGTGACTGTCTTCCCGAAAATAAAAGACGGGCGAGTCTGCCAGCAGCTTCCCAACTGCTCCTTCGTTCGCCGGGCGAGAGGAGATGTTGACGAGTGGCGAGTTAATTAAATCATGTTTAATTGTAGCCACTGGAAGAGAAAAAAACCTGTGTCCGGAGAAAATAAACTTAACACCATTAGCCTTTCCGTGAGTGAGCAGTGCCAAGAGTTGAAGACGCTGGGAATAAAATCAATAGTCAATTAAAGGCGAGCCAGATGGTTTCGAGTGGGTTTCCTTGGCTCTTAGCGAGCCGGCAGATGTCGCCAGTACCGTTCAGCTGTTGCTCGTCCAAGGGGGCGGCTGCCAACTTGGAAGTGACGGGAGGACCCAGGCTCTGTGAGCGTCTGCATGAAACCAAGGCAAGTGCTTGTGGGAGACGCTGAGAAAACACTAACCCACTACACCCTGAAGTGGAATCTGCGAAGATGTGATAAAACTGATGGTGAAAAGATGTGTGGAGCTTAAAAAAAAAAAAAAGGCTGAGTTGGACAAACTTTATGAAAATATGAAGTGCTTAAAGCTTATGAGGCCCGGCGGGCGTGGCTCCGTGCTTGAGCGTCGGCCTGTGAACCAGGAGGTCACGGTTCGATTCTCATTCAGGGCACAGGCCCGGGTTTGCGGGCTCGATCCCCAGTGGGGGGTGTGCAGGAGGCAGCCGATCCATGATTCTCTCATTATTGATGTTTCTCTCTCTCTCCCTCTCCCTTCCTCTCTGAAATCAATAAACATAATTTTTTAATAAAAAGCTTATGGGTATTCATTGTATCAGCCACCAGTGTTTCCAGGAAGCTGACCCGTAGCCATTCGCCACTGCTACGAGGTCCCCTTCAACTCCCCCAGGCACGTCTCCTCCCACACAAGAGGGCGCAGCCGGAAGCCGCCCTGGAGAGGACCTCCCCTCACCACTGCCTCTCGGGCCTCCCTGGCGGGAGGCTCCACTCAGCTGCTGCCTGCTGGGGTGGCACGCCCATCCTAAGCTCAACAATCCACACATCGGGCTCCGGCGTGTTCCTCTGTCTGCTGCTGCCAAGGGGCCCCGTAAGCCCACGGTCTGAGCCGAGACGGGGTGGTGGGGAACAGCGGGGTCACCTGAGTGTCATGTACTTGCCTCTGTCGCTTGTGTCGTCGGTTTCCCACGGTCTGTGCGCGTGGCCACCTGTGAGCTTAGGGAGGCCTGCCATGCTTCTTCAGACTCAAAAGGTCCAGGGGGGCCCGGGAATGCAAGTTTTGGGGGGCCAGCAACCCAGGGGATCCCAGCCCACGTGTCAGACTTCCGTTCTTTCTCCTGCCCGGATCTGGGCCCAGCACCCTACCTTGGTGGAGAGTTGAACCTTCGCAAGAGGTTGGCCACGTGTCCTGGCCTGGCCCTTGGCTTTCTCTGCCCTCGGCTTCCCGGGTAGATGAGAGCATCTCTATAGGCTCGGAGGAGGCCGCTGCTTTTGCACTTAGAGTGTAATTGCCTTTAGATGCGCTCTGAGCCTTCTGTTATCTTGCTTAGAGCTTCAGTGGACCTAGAAGTAGCCATCCGACCCTCACAGGTAATTCCCTGTAACTTTAAATGCCCGCCGTGCACCCTAGCCCGTGTGACTGGGCCAGAGCGTTGTCCTGTGCACCAAAGAGTTGTGGGTTCAATTCCTGATCAGGGCACACGCCCAGGGTGTGGTGCCATCCCGTCAGCGTGTGCACCAGAGGCAACTGATAGATGTTTCTCCCTCTCCTCCCCTCCCCTCCCCTCCCCTCTCCTCTCTCTCTCAAATAGACAAAAACATCCTCGGCACCGGCCGGCAGACTCAGTGGTTAGAGCCTTCACACCTGAGGGTCTCGGGTTCGATTCCTAGTCAAGGGCACATACCTGGGTTGCACATGTGGGAGGAAACCACCTGATGTCTCTCTCACATCGGTGTTTCTCTCCCTCTCCTCTCCCCCCTCCCTTCCACGCTCTAAAAATCAATGGAAAAATGCATCCTCACTCCTCGGGTGAGGATTAACAACAGCAAAAACTAACTAAACACATGTCCTTGGGGAGGATTTTAAAAAGAAATGCACATATATAAATAGAAAACTCCTGTCTGTAGGAGTTTCAGACGGGCACCTGTCCTCCGCGCTTCTGTCAGTGACCGCGCGCCGGCTCAGTCTCCGGACGCGTGTTCTGTCACAGTTCACCTCCCAGCAGCACTTGGGAGGAGCCTGATGGAAACAGCTCACAAAGACGCCGTCCTCGCCCGCACCCTGGGTGACAGTTGAGGTGGCGCAGCGCTCAGCGCTTCAGTGCCTTTTCCCTCCAGCGTGGAGCCCCGCCACCACCACGCGGGGCCGAGAAGGCGGCGGTGCTTGGTGGACGGCCCCCCTTAGACACTGAATCGCATCAGTCGTGGGGCCCCGCGGCGACCTGCTCGCAGCCCCATCTGGCTCACCTTGGGGGGCACCTTGGGGGTGCACGCTCGGAAGGCTCCCCTCCTCCGCTCCGCTCTCCCTTCTCGGGAACCGCACTCAACCGTGACGGGAACTTCTGGGTCTGTGCTCCGTTCTTTTATTTACTTAATATTATTTTCAACGTTTTTATTTTTAGAGAGAGGGAAAGAGAAACAGCTGATCGGCTGCCTCCTGCACGCCCCCTACTGGGATCAAGCCTGCGACTGGCATGTGCCCTGGCCGGGATGGAGCGGCGCCCTGTGGGCACGGGGTGATGCCACCCGGACCAGGGCTTTATCTACTATTTGAAACCTTTTCCTTCCTCTGCCCTTTCGCGCTGCCCCCAGGAGGGCTCCTCGTGCCGCACTTCCCACTCGCGAGCCTGCACGTGGCTATCTCCATCCTGTCCATCCTGCCCATTGACCACGACCACGACCACAACCACGACCACGGTGAGTTTAGCGCGGCTCCTCTCCGAGCCAGAGATGCTTTGTTAATGGAGTTTGCTCGGCGCCACCAAGACGCCTCCCCGCACCGAGAAGACCAATTTCACTTCTGTAAATGGCTGTCCGGGGAACTCATGGCTGCAGTGTTTCTTGTGTTGAACTGAGGGGCTCTTTCATGCCGCTCTTTCCTCCAAAGCTTGTGATCCGTAGTTGGGTGCTCACCTTCATATATATATATACACACACACACACATATATATATGTAATTTTTTTTATTGATTTCAGAGAGGAAGGGAGAGGGGGAGATAGAAACATCAATGATGAGAGAGAATCATTGACCGGCTGCCTCCTACACACCCCCTACTGGGGATCGAGCCTGCAACCCGGGCATGTGCCCTTGATGGAATTGAACCCAGGACCCTTCAGTCCACAGGTGACGCTCTATCCACTGAGCAACACTGCCTAGGGCTTGTTGCTGTTTTTTTTAATTGAAATCTCAGTGTCCATGCATCCTTTCATTTTCCTCTCTCTCCTTCCTGAACAGTTCTGTCTGGCAGGCACTGGGCTGGACAGGGTGTCCTAGGTGTACCTGGGGGTGGGGGTTAGGAGCCACCATGGCCCGGAGCAGGTGTGGATACCAAGGGGGTGAGGAAGGTGTTGACATCAAGATGTGCCCCACAGGGGGCCTGGCAGAGAGGAGTCCACACAGGGGCCTGTGGGCACCGAGGGTCAGAACCAGGCTGGTGAGGGTTCCCGGGCGCCGTGGTAACTGGTATCGCACCGGGGCGGGGCGGAGGGACCCTTAGTGGTAAAGTCAGGACTTGGGCCCAGCAAGGGTTTCCCGGAGGCCACCTGGCAATTCCCATCAGCCACGTCGGTGAGCGGAGCCTTCACACGGGACAGCAGCCACAGGAGGGGGTGATGGCCCGGCCAGGGGGCTCAGGCAGGGAGGGGCAGTGCCCGCACAGGACAGAGGCAGCCGTGGGAGGTGGGGACAGACAGGGGAGATCAAATCCGAAGATGGATTCGGGGGAGTGGGAGGCAATGTTACGGACAAGTTCTGTGCCGGACATGTGACGAGGACACGGTGACGCCTGGGTTTTAGACGGGGCTGGAGGCACCAGGGTGATGACGGATAGGAAGGTGGGCGGACCTGGGCCCGTCTGTTCCCCGAGGGCCGGGACAGGCAGCGCCCCCACCATGATGCACCGGGTGTGCTCGTTATGCAGCGGCCCCCACCCAGGAACGCCGTCTGTCCCCGGCTGCCAGTGTTCAAGGTTTGTGGTGCGACTGTCCTTGTTCTGATGCTGACGTAGATTAGGTGGTACCCGGCCCGTTCCCACGGGAGCTGCTTTCAAGGGTGCGGCCTGGAGGTGGTAGCTCGGCGTTGAGATCCCTGGACGGCGCGTGTGACGGGCCCAGTAAGGCCTCTGTTCACTCTTCAGATCCCGGTGGGCGGGGGCAGAGATCGCCTGTCTTGGTCCCCAGGACCAGCCTCGTGTGTGAGCTCCCTGCTGGCTGACCTGCGCCCAGGAGCCGGGAGCCGTCGGCCTCTTCCTTCGGGGTCTCCCTACCTGTGAGTACCGGGGCCGTTTACGAGCCACAGGAGCCTGGATCCCAGAGTTTGGGGTGGGTGGGCTCCTGTCAATCATGGGGGTGGGAGACCAAGCAGACCTGAGTGGGCAAATCCCTGGCAAACGGGCTGCCATTGCCGTTACCACCCTCCACCCTCGAGGCTTCCGTGACCCACAGCCTTGGGCGTCGCTCTCTGCAGACCCAACACCGGCGTGGCAGACCTGTGCCCCCAACTCGCCCACCAATCCCAGCCTCTGCTCAGTCCGGCAGGGGCTCCAAGTCCTCCTCCGAGCGGGCGGAGGAGACGCTGAGCGCCCGCCGCCTGCCCTGCCCTCCGGAGCCGGCCCGACACACAGGCGGACGGGCGTCACTGCTTTACTGGGAGGGGAATACACTCCGACACGATGCAGGGCTCCGAGCCCAGCACGATCTCCAGCTCCAGGTGCAGCTGGTTGGCCGTGACGCGGTAGTGGCCCTTAATGAAGCCCCGGGAGCCGCAGGGGCGGCACCGCCAATGGCCCTGGATGATGCGGGCGGCGTGGAGCAGGCGGCAGTAGCGCAGGCGGATGCGCCACATGCGGACCCAGGCCTGCAGCCGGACCGCAGCCCACTCCTTCCGCGTGAAGGCCTCCAGCACCGCCCGCCGCCGCGCCTCCAGCGCCCGCATGCGGATCTGCTTCCACCAGCGCTGGATGGTCAGGGCTCCGAGGGCCGCGAACAGCAGCGACCGGCGCACCAGGATGCCCCGCCACCAGGCCTGGATCTTCACCACTTCTGGGTCGCGAGGGGGGGGCCTACTTTTGTGTTGTAAGATCTTGCAAGAAAAAAAAAAAAGAGGCCGTTCAGAGCGTGCCCCCCCCCCCCTTCAGATCCGGGGGTTTGCCAAGAAGGGACCCGGACTCCCTCTCAGGAATCACCCCGCCTCCCCGGCCTCAGAAACACTGGGCAGGGCCCTGACTAGAACCAGAGGCCAAGCCGGTGTCCTGTCTCTGTCCCTCCCTGGCTGACCGCTGAGCCTCGGAGTTCCCATCCATAAAATGGGATCACATCGGCCCTGGCGGCCAGTTTCATGTGCTCTAGGAGGCCAGCCAGGGGCAAGAGCACCATCAGCTGTCAGTCAAAGGGTGACTGTGTTTACCTGCCCAGGATCCATGACCCCTCCCCCAGGCCCCACCCACCTCCTGGAGAAGGGGCATCTTTTGCTAATTTGGCCCTTTCGTCTTTCACCCCAACTCCAGTCCACAGCATGCTCCTCCCCTGCATGCCACAGTATTAAGTTTCCTCTGGCCCTGGCCGGTGGGCTCAGTGGTTAGAGCGTTGGCTTCTGCACCAAAGGGTCACAGGTTCTGGGTTGGGGATTTGCTCCCTACCCCGTTCAGGGCAGGTGCTAGAAGCAAACAATGATCTCTCTCTCTCTCCCTCCCTCCCTCCCCCCTCCTGCCCTCCCTTGCACACGCTCCGAAAAGCAATGGGAAAAGTATCCTCAGGTGAAGATTAACCAAAAGAAAGTTTCCTCCTCACCAGGCCACGGCCGCGAGTTTGACATGCTTGCAGCTCCACCGCCCATCTGTTCCCCGTCCTCACTTCCCCACTTTAATCTTAACGAACAGGCAAACATACACGCACAAGCTCGCAGCCCTTCCCGAGGCCCCTTCTCCTGTGCGGGCCACTCCATTCCGCAGACCCAGCCCCGCCCCCCAGCCCTGTGTCTGGGGGAGTCATACTTTTTTGGGTCCTTCATTAGCATTATCCACTTTCTTTGCCTCAACTGTATTCGCATTGTTCGCCTGAAAAAGACATGGGGGAAGAGGACAGACGAGGAGTTGGTTCCTGTCCTTAGCTCTGGGCCGCGCAGAAGACACCAGCCACCGGCCCTAGGAGACAGGCCGGACCCGGTCAGGGCACCTACCTCCGCCTTCACCTCTAGGGCCCGCGGTGCTGGGGGCGAGCCCGTTGGCTCCCGCTGCGGCTGAGGCTCCTCTTCGGGGCGTTCGTCAGTGTTCTCAGGCTGGTCCATCTCCTGCTATCAGCAGTGGGGGAAGGAGAGATTCTCCCTTCAGTATCCCACAATCCTCAGCTTCTGGGGCTCCCAGCGTATTCAGGTGTCAGGGCGCCCCCTCATCCTGTGGGGACACCCCTAAAAAGCCTGCATCTGTCTCTTACCATTGGTCCCACATGGGTTGGGTGTAGATGGTTCAAATCCCCTCAGGTCTGTTACTCTAGCCACGGCATGGGGAAAGAGTGTGTGTGTGGGGGGGAGAGCTATGATGTCATAAGGGCAGCTATGACTCAGGAACCAGGATGGCTCCCAACCACTGAGCCCCCTCCGAGGAAAAGACAAAGGTCTCTCCATTCTTTTCTGCTGGAAGTGGCCAAAGCCCAGACACCAGAAGCACTGGCCCACTGACGTCAAGGTGTGAAAGATGACCCTCCCCAACTGGTAAAACTGGGGATCGATCTTTTTACAGTCCATCCACTCTAGAATACTATGTAGCTGTCAGAAAACAATGAATTTGATCTATTTGTCCTAATGTGGAAGTATATCCAAGATGCATTTTTATAAAAAATATATTTTTATTGATTTCACAGAGGAGGAGAGGTAGAAAGAAACATTAATTATGAGAATCATTGATCGGCTGCCTCCTGCACACCCCCTACTGAGGATGTAGCCCACAACCCGGGCATGTGCCCTGACCAGGAATCAAACCATGACCGCCTGGTTCATAGGTCAATACTCAAGCACAGAGCCACAGCCGGGCTCAAGATGCATGTCTAAGTGAAAAAAGTTGAAGATCAGTATGACCCCATTTAAGTAAATAAAACCATCAAGATACATAATTACCATGAACCAGGAGGTCACGGTTCAATTCCAGGTCAGGGCACAGGCCAGGGTTGTGGGCTCCATCCCCAGCAGGGGGGTGTGCAGGAGGCAGCTGATGGATGATTCTCTCTCATCATTGATATTTCTCTCTCCCCCTCTCTTTTGCTCTCTCTGAAATCAGTAAAAAGTATTTTTTTTTAAGTTGCATTACATTTAGGGGAAGAAAAATTAACATGACAGATAAAATAAAAAGCATCCCCAAAATTGAAAGACACAGGGCAATAAACAAAAATCTATTTCTACACATCAACAAACAGTTGGCAAATTCTTGATATAGAAGTGCAAAGTTAAAGATTTACATCATCTGATTTCAAGACAATGATTTACTGTCTTGAAAAACTATCAAGTTACAGTAATCAAGACAACGTGGTTTTAGTGTGTAAGGAGAGACAAACAGGTCAATGAAACAATGGAGAAGCCAGAAACAGACTCACATTTACAGCCTATTGATTTTTTTTAATGTACCAAGATAATTCCATGCAGAAAGGAAATGCATTTTTCAATGGGAAAAAATTTGACCCTTATCTAATATCACAAACCAAAAAAAAATTAATTCAAGATCTACCAGAGGCCTAAGCAAACACTGAAGCTAAAGCTACAAAGCTCACAGAAGAAAAGCCGTGGGAATCCCTTTGTGACCCTGAAGTCAACGAAGACAGGATAGAGCACAAGCTCTAAAATACTGACAGGCTGGCTTTGTCCAAATTAAAGCTGCTCATCAAGCCAAAACCGGTTTGGCTCAGTGGACAGAGCGTCGGCCTGCGGACTGAGGGGTCCCGGGTTTGGTTCCGGTCAGGGGCATGTACCTGGGTTGCGGAGGGAGGCGGCTGATCAGTGTTTCTCTCTCATCAATGTTTCTAACTCTCTATCTCTCTCCCTTCCTCTCTGTAAAAAATCAATAAAAAAATATATTTTTAAAAAAACAATACATTAAAATACATTAAAAAAACAAACAAACAAAAAAACTGCTCATCCAGACGGCACTCTTCCAAAGCCACAAGCTTAGGAGGACTTCAGCACACGGATCTGACAAAGGACTCACAACCAGAATACAAGACGTTCTACAACACAATAAAGACACGCAACCCAATAAAAATGGTCAAAAGGCTTAAGCCCACACTTCATAAAAGATCTTCAACTGGCCACGAAACACATGAAAAGTTGCTCAACACCCTTACTTATTAGGGAAAGGCAACACTGAGACCACGGTGGGTTAACGCAAGTACCCATTAACGATGGCAAAACATAAAGGAAAAACATGGGAACCGGCTGCTGACAAGAAGAAGCCACCAGTTTGGAAGTCAGAGCGGCTGTTTCTGCTAACAGGAAGCGCGTACCCTCGCCACTGCGTGACTCAGCCCCTCCCCCAGTATGCTATGGTTTACTCGGGAGACTGCGCGTGTGCTCAGGCCTGTACAGGAGCGTCAGAACGCCCGTCGCATTACAATCATAAAAGCCAAATACTGGGAACGAGTCGAGTGTCTACAGAGTGGGTTTTTAGTATACTCATAAGATGACGTATTAACAATAAAAAGCAAAGAACTAGTTAATGACACATGCATTGACATGGATATATCTTTTTTTTCCAACTCCGGTTTACATTCAGTATTGTTTTGTATTAGTTTCAGGTGCGGCCTGGGTGTACCTTACAGTCATCATGTTGAGCAAAGAAAGCCAAACCGAAACACAAAGCACTGTTTAATGCCATTTATATGAAGTTTTAAAACATGCAAAACGGATATATAGTGACGGAAACCAAGCAGTGCTTGCCTCTGAGAGCGGAGATTCATTAGAAAGAGGCACGAAGGAGCTTTCTGGGAAGATGGAAACGTTCTGTATGCCGATGAGGTGCAGATTGTGGGACACATCCATTTGCAGAACTCATTTAACTGCCCATTTAAAAAATTTTCATTCGACTATACATAAATTATACCTTGATTTTTTTTTTTAGATGAAGTTGAAATAAAAACATTTAAAAAATTAAGAACCCTGCCAGTATGGCTCAGTGGTTGAGAGTCAACCCATGAACCAGGAGGTCACATCTATTCCCAGTCAGGGCACATGAGGGGGTTGCAGGCTTGATCCCCAGCTTTGGGCATGCAGGAGGCAGCCGATCGATGATTCTCTCTCATCACTGATGTTTCTTTCTCTCCCTTCTCTGAAATCAATAAAAATAGATTTAAAGAAAAAAGAAAAGTAAGTATGAGCCCAACTCCAGCAAGGCAGCCTCAGCTGACCACGGCGCAGGATGGAGGCCGCAGGAGAAATGATACCATTTCAACGCCAAGGGTAGGCACTTCCCAGCTTTCATCACTCCCTGGGGGTGTGCCAATGGGAAAGGCTTCACATGTTAGGGGCATCTCAGTGTTGCTGGCATCACTCAGGAGGTAAGTTTGTCATCAGTGAGCTCATTCTGAGGCAGGACATGGGGAGTGAATCCCATCAGCATCCCCTAAACCCCACCCCCACCCCGGGTTAAGGGATCCCTAACACTCCTTCTCGTCCCCCCCAAGGGGATGAGGGGACATCAGTGCACCTCCAGCTGGCTGGCCACCTGCCTGCCCACCCCACCCCACACAGGAGCGCATCCTCCAGCGGGTGCAATCAGGGGCCTGAGCCAACATTCCTGACACACCCACCGCAGGGTCACGGCCGGCCAGCTCCTGGAGGGGAGGGCACCTAGCCTCACTGCCCCGTCCCAGGCAGCACATGCAGTCGCCCTCCCCAGGGCGGTCTGGCCTGAGGGGGCAGGTCAGCCTGACTTCACTTCACTCAGACCCACCGCCTGCCCCTGAGGTCACTGAGGGTGCCGGGTCCGGGACCAGGAGCGCGGAGGGCTCTGTCCACAAGTTCCTGGCGGAGGGCAGGCAGCCCCCCAGCCGGCAGGGCAGACAGACTGCGGAGCGTGGCCCTCCCCAGGCGCTGCCACCCCTCCCCCCCAGGCAAGAGGCACAGGAGACAAGGCCCAAAAGAGAAGACTTTTAATACAAGACGGCAGGGCGGGCGGGAAGGACTTAAATAGGGGACGGGCGTCAGGAGCCTGCGGCCGTGGGCCTGGGGGCCCTCCGCAAGGGGATGATGCACACGGAGTTCCGAGCCTCTTTGATCCGCCACCATCGGCCCAGCCTGCGGGGCGAGGGAGAAGCTGAGGCCGCTGCTGCCCCCAGTCCCACCCCAGGTCCCACCCAGCTGCCAGCCAGTGCCCTTCCCCACCCCCCCCTCCAGGGCGCCTCCTACCTGTGCTCCTGCCCCACCCCGGCCACCAGGAAGTCCCCGGTGCTGGAGAACTTGAGGCTATTGATGAAGCCCACCTGGGAAAGGGGGTGATGGCAGAGGGATGAGCACACCCCCACAGCCGCGGCCCGCACATCAGGGTCGAGGCTTGGCCTTAGCTGACCTGCCTTCCACCCCTGCTCCGCCTCCTCCCGCCCCCGAACCAGCCCGTCACCCCTGGGCCGGGCCTCAGCCTCCACACGAGCTTTGTGAGGACTGAGGAGACAGTGTACGCCACACACGTCAGTGTCCCCCAGGGCCAGGCCCCTGGCTGTGGGGCCTGGAGACCCCATCGCCATCACCCTTGACCCAAGCTCTGCACTTCACCAGACGTCACTGACAGACCTGCCACTCTTCCCACGGTCACCCAAGTGGGCGCCCCAGCTCAGCATCAACCTGGCACTGCCACACAGAGCCCATCACACCTGTGCCCGTGGGCTCCCTGCCTCGTACCCAGCACCCAGTGGGGAGGGAGAGGAAGGAGCAGGGAGGGTTCTGCCGGGCCCCGGGCCCCAGGCTAGGAGAGGAGGCTCCCTTCTGCTAGAAAGACAGTCCAGGGACCTTGGGGTGCGGCCAAGATGGCCGGGCACTCAGGCCCACTCACCAGGGGGATGTCGCAGAGAGGGTCGAGCTGCCGGAAGCCCTCCCCGCACCGCCAGAGCCGCACGCAGGCGCTGTGGGAGCCTGGGGGGAGGGCGACAGTGAGCACCGCACCAGCCGGGGCCCCCTCTGCCGCAGGGCACTCACCACCCAGGACGCTCACCGGTGGCCACGAGGTCTGTGTTGAGCAGGGCGGCCACTGACGACACCCAGAAGGGCTGCTCCAGGCCCGGCTCGCCCCGCAGCCCGTGGGCCTCCCGCTGCAGGGCCAGCGGCCGTTTCTTGGAGAGGCCCCACAAGGCCAGGGAGCTGGGGACAGGGAGCACAGTGAGGGCCAGGCAGGCAGGCAGGGCACACCGGCCGGGACGCGGCAGGTCGCCTGAGCTCTCCCCACTCAGCGTCTGCATCTGTGCAACCTGTTACAACTGCTGCCAGGCAGGGCCCCGGGGCTGGGCCGTGGGGGAGGCACCTCTTACCCGTCGTCGGCGCCCGACACCATGTGCTCCTCGTTGATGAGCTGAATGTTGTCAATGGAGCCCCTAAGAAAGAAGCAGTGAGGGGTGCCCCCATGGGCGCACCAACCCCCATGCCCGGCTGTCCCTGCAGCCTTACTGGTGACCGTAGAAGACGAGCTGGGACTCCTCGGGGATCTTCCACACGCGCACGGTGCCGTCCCGGCCGCCCGCCGTCACGCAGCACTCCCTGCTCAGAGCGTCCAGCGCAGCCACCGCGTCCTGGTGCCCGAAGCTGGAGGGGCACAGAGCCTGGGTCACCCATGATCACGCACACACACACGCACACGCGCACCCTCCCCAGGCGCACTCACAGCGTCTCCACGTAGGAGTTCTCCGCCACGTTCCACACCTTCACCGAGCGGTCGTGGGACGTGCTGTAGAGCTGGTGGGTGCCTCGGCGGAACGCCAGCCCCTGGGGAGGTGCGGAGAGAGGGCAGGGCTGCAGGCGGCAGAGGGCACAGAGAGCCAGCTCCCCGGGAGCGGTGCCACCCTATCTGCAGGCGCAGCCGCTCACCTGCCTGCCCTGGCAGCGGCAGTCTTCCCAGAGGCCTCCCTGCTCCCGGGGCAGCTCCACCCAGCTCCCCGGCTCTCTCCCGTCATGACTGAGGACGCCACTCACTGCGCCAACGTGCAGGCTCCCGGCTCCCTGAGCCTCAGCCACCCCATCCCTAGCCCGGCCGCCCGGCGCTCCCTGAAGGTCCCGCACGGAGGCCCACTCCTCACCGACACGGCGTCCCGGTGCCCCGTGAAGGTGTACAGGTGCCTGCAGCTCGGGGCCTCCCAGATGAGGATGAGCTTGCTGCGGTCGCCCGAGGCCTGTGGGGAGGAGGACAGTGGCCACAGGCGCCCGTGTGCCCAGACCTCTCACCGCCCCAGGGCCCACCGGCCTTACCAGGTACTTGCCGTCGGAGGAGATGGCCATGCAGAGCACGTGGCTGCTGTGGCCGGGGGACTGGCCCTCTGCACCCTTCTTGGCACGTGGGATCACGTGAAGCTTCCGTCCACTCTCCACGCTCCCTGCGCGGGGGAGAGAGAAGGCGGGGATAGGCGAGAGGCCTGGTGCCACCCCCTCCAGGGCAGCGTGGGGCCCTGGACAAGCCCTGGCCTCAGGTCAGATCTGGCTCAGCCACTGAGAGAGAGGTCACCTCAGTTTCCTCATCTGTGAAGTGGGGACAACAACCCTAAAGGGCAGCCACGCAGCCCCAGAGGAGGGAGGGAAGTGCTTTGGACCAGACGGTTCTCCTGCTCCTTGTGGGCGGAGGAGGCCTGGGACAGGGCCCTCTGGTCCAGGCCCAGCAGCACGGACCCTCGACTCCTCCCGTTGCTCCCCATCTCCATGACGGTGACGGGGCGCTCAGGAGCCCCTCCTGGGCAGAAGCTGCCACAGTCACCCAGAGACTTCTGGGGACAAGCCTGCTTCCAGAAGCTTCCCCATCAGTCCTTAGGTCGTCCTGATTCCTCCTTCCTCCCAGACCAGCCCCCGCAGATGGTCCCTGGGGCTGCACCCGCCAGGCACTCACTCACACTTAATGATGGTGCAGTCTTTGGCGGCGGAGAAGATGGCCAAGTCGTCGGGGGTGATGACCAAGCATGTGATGGAGAGCTGGTGGCCCCGTAAGACTCGAATGTCGGCCGGGGCTGGGGCCTGGATCTGGGCAGGCAGGACTGGGTCACTGCGACTGGGGGGGGGAAGTACCCCCACCTACACACTCCCATCTACACGCATGCACGCACACGCACACACCACCCTTCCCCATCACCCGCCCAGAAGGAAACCAGACCCAGGGCTGCAAGCCCACCATGTCCCTGAGCAAAGACCCCGCAGCCTGAGTCCCCAGTTGGGTCATCTGCCCACCAACCCAGGTGGGACCCCCAATTCCCTCCCATCTTACACCCATGTGCCCCGCCCACTCACCTCCTTCGCCACCGACTTCTGCAGCCTGCCCCTCTGCTCGAGCTGCAGGGAGAGGACTGGGTGAGGCCCCCGAGCCAGACCAGCCCACGCCTTCCTCCCACCATTGGGCCTCCACACGCACCACGTCCTCCTTCAGGCGCCCCGCCACCTGGTCCTCCTCAAACTCGCGGGCCTCGGCCTTCTCGTCCTCTGTGCCGGGCAGAACAGACCAGTAAACCAGGGCCAGACCCGCTTGGCTTTCCCTTCCGATCCCCACCCACCACCTCAGTCCCGGGCCCCAACACGGGGGCCCTGTCCCCTGGGAAGTCCAGGCCGCCTCGGGCACAGGGGAGGCAGGGCCAGTGGTTCCTCCTGTCCACCCCCGCCTTTACTTACCAGATCTGTCTACCCCTCCCCCCCAGTCACCCATGAGACCAGCCTCCCACAGGGCAGCCCACGGGGCACTGTGTCAGTCACCCATCGGGGAGGAGCTGCAGAGGCCCCCCCCTCACCTGCCCGCTCTGGGCTCACCTTGCTGCCGGAGCTGCTCAAGGTAGACCTTGGCCAGGCGCAGCTTCTTCTCCTGCGCGGTCTCCTCCAGCTCCTCCTGCTCCTCCTCCTCTGTCCTCCTGGGAGCGAGGCTGAGGGCACGGGCTGGGTTAGAGGGGGCTCACCCCACTCCGCTGACACTTGGACCGCCTGCTCCCCCTGCCCGTCACCGCCCCCATCCCCTGCCAGCGCATGGGCAGTGCTTACACCAGCAGAAAACAAGGTGACTTAGCAAGGGCCCACCCAGCGCCTGACAGAGTGAAAACAGGCCGCAGCCCAGAGGCCACTGTGACTCCCTCATCCCTGCAGGGAACAGGAAGGTTCCACAGGCCCCTGAGAAAAGCAGGTCACCAATGAAGGGTCAGGAGCCAAAATGGCTTCAGACGTCTCGACAGCAACCCTGACAGCAGGCAGACACGTTCCGCACACAAAATCCTGCAGAAAAACGCTAAGCCCTGGAATTCCACGCATTACACCATCGATGACGAGTGACGACAGAGTCCCATGTCCAAAGCGCCACAGAATTGGTCCTTTCTCCTTCTTTTAAGGATGGGGACCCAACCCGGCGAGCAGGCAGCTCAGAGCAACCGCCGACCACCCCAGCCGGGGGAGCAGCCAGCCCGACCCGCGGCCAGGCCCTGCGGCAGACAGGTGGGGCCTGTCACCGCCTCCCTGCCACGGCGTCCACCTGAGGACCCGATGGCACGGAAGCTTCGTGGTCTTGGCTCGCCTCGTGCTGCTGCAGCTCCGCTCCCCCTCATGCCCGCCCCTGACTTCAAGCAAGACAAGCCCTCCTGACTCGCTCCTGGGAGCTGGACGAAGGTCACGGGACTCAAGCAGAAAACCCGGGACAGCCCCTCCCCCTGATCACACGCTGGCACATATCCAGTCCCTGGCGGGTCCCCCAGCTGGTTCCCGGGACTCATTCATGACCCTGCCCATGACTTTCCCAGGAAGGAACTTGGAAACCCTCAAGGCCAGACCATGCTCCTTAGTACACAGCCAGGGTCAGAACTTCTACTCAGTTTACCCAAACTCATCAATCCATGCTCACACGTAGCAGACAGGACGCAAACGAAAATGAAGGGAAGCACACGCTGTCTGATCCCACCCATGGGCCATTCCGGAAAAGGCAAGACTCCAGGGGCAGTGGCTGGGGCGGGAGGAGAACTGACCCGGAAGCTGGGGGATCCTGGCGCGAGAGGAAACCCTGCCGTATCTTCACAACTCACAGAACTATACACGAAGCAAGGTGAACGGCACTGCCGCAAATCAAACCCGAGCGAGAAGACAAAAAAGAAGAAAGAGGAGCCCGGCCAGCGTGGCTCTGGGGCTGAGCATCCACCCAGGAACCAGGAGGTCAGGGTTTGATTCCCGGTCAGGGCGCATGCCCGGGGCTGCAGGCTCCATCCCCAGTGTGGGGCGTGCAGGAGGCAGCCGATCCATGATTCTCTCTCATCATTGATGTTTCTATCTCTCCCTCCCTCTCCCTTCTTCTCTGAAGTCAATAAAAATATTTTTTTAAAAAGGAGGAGGAAAGAAGGAAGAAACCAAATAAATTCCTAGCTCCAGTCAGGAATGCAGCTGGGACTTCTAAGTTTCTGCAAATGGTCTCGCTGTTAACCTGAGTGGTGGGTGCAGAGGTGCATCGTGTCCTCGTCACTGTCTGTAGCATTGCATTGCATTAACGCTTCTGTGTCTAACACGTTTCACTTTTTTTAAAAATATATATTTTACTGATTTTTTACAGAGAGGAAGGATTTTTTACAGACAGAGAGTTAGAAACATCGATCAGCTGCCCCTTGCACATCTCCTCCTGGGGATGTGCCCGCAACCAAGGCACATGCCCTTGACCAGAACTGAACCTGGGACCCTTCAGTCCACAGGCCGACGCTCCATCCACTGAGCCACACTGGTTTCGGCCACATTTCACATTTTTATTGTTGTTGTTAGTCCTCAACCGAGGATACTTTTTCCTTTGATTTTCAGACAGAGTGGGAGGGAGGGAGAGAGAGTGAGACAAACATCATCCATTGGTTGCCACTCACACACACCCGGACCAGGGCCGGGGATCCAACCTGCAACCCAGGTACTTGCCCCTGCCCAGGAATCAAACCTGCGACCCTTCGGTCCACAGGCCAACGCTCCAATCACTGAGCAAAACCAGCCAGGGCCCACGACACATTTTAAAGGCATTTCAAAGTGTTTAGCAAAGGGCTTGGTACACACATAGCCATGTAACCTTAGGACTAAGAAAAGTATATTAAGTCTCTGTGAGCAGGTGAAGGCCAACGAAATGCAATGTTAGAAGCAGAATTTCCAAAGCCAACTTTCTTTTTCAATCCTCACCTGAGGATATTTTTTCATTGGTTTCTAGAGAGAATGGGAGGGAGGGAGGAGGAGAGAGAGAGAGAAACATCGACATGAGAGACACAGGTCAATTGCCTGCCTCTGCATGCACCTCTAACCGGGGCTGGGAACCTGCAACCAAGGTATGTGCCCTCAACTAGGAATCAAACCCTCGACCCCACGGTGCACAGGCCAACACTCCCGGCAGCACAAAAGCCAACTCTTCACGGACCCACCCCCGGGCCTTCCACCCTCTTCCAGTCCGGCACTTACACCCCGGACTTGGCTGATCCCCGCATGCCTTCCCTGCCTCTCCCTGAGGGACTTCTCCCCAGGCCCAATTTCAGTGTCCCGTCCTCTGTTCCCTGAACACAATGTAATTCTAGTCCCGATCCCACACCTTCAGTCCCTGCTGCCTGCTCCTCTCTGCACTCTCAAAAGTGAAGCAGGTGCCGGGCCTCTGCTGAGCGCCAGAAGGGAGACCACTCACTGGGAAACCGTGGGAAGGGAATGAAGAAGAGCCGGCATTGCTTGTATCCCTCTCCCCGTCCAGGTCGGTGCACCTGTGCTCAGATCCCTGCCCTGGGCCAGGGAGATCTCGGAGTCTCCCTTTGGGACCGGGACTGGGGGGTGGGGGGAGGTCCTCCCCACACAGAGAACCCGCAGGGAAGGAGATGAGACTTCTCGGGATCAGAAACCGGATTTAGAGCCAAAATATGAGCCAAGGACCCGTGATTTGGGTTCTAGACCCGCATCCGCCCCGACTCACGGAGACTTCCACAAAGCGCGGGCCTCGGGGGTCGCTTCCATCAAGTGGGAAGAAGGGCTCACCTCTCGCTCTCGGAGTCACTGGAGATCTCCTCGTTCATCTTGCCGCCACCCTTCGACTTGCCCCGGTCCCGGGCGGAGTCGGCCTGGGAATTATACGATCCTTCCTGCGGTCAGGGGTCCCGGCCACTCCGGCCCTGACCCAGGGCCCCTTCCGGATCCCGAGGGCTCTGGGGCTGGGCAAGGCCTTGGGCCCCGGCTCAAGTGCAAGGCCTCCCAGGATTCGGCCGGCGGACAGGGACGCAGCTGACTCCAGCTTTAGTCCCGGGAGAAGGGCCAGGCAGGGCACGGAGGGGTTGGGAGGGGATGGAGGCGGGATGACGGCGGTCCCAACTGCGGGTCGGACCCCGGGCCGCAGGAATGCCATGCTCACCTTTCGCCGCCGCTTGCCGGCCCCCGCACCGGCTCGGGCCCCCGAGGCCGGCTTCCCCCGCTTTCGAGCCACCGCAGTCGCCGACATGCTGCCCGCCGGTGTGTGGCAGCGGCCGCCGGAGCACTCACGTGGCGGCTGAACCCGGCAGTCTGGCAACACTCCGCGCCCTGATAGGCCCCCACTGCCCGGCGGGCCCCGCCTCCCGCGACTCCATTGGGCCCTTTGATAGGCTCTGCCACGCCCCCAAACGCCCATACGTTTCTGGCCTGTGGCCACGCCCCCTAGACCTCCCATAGGCTCCCGCGCCGGGCTCTTCCTGCCCGAAGCTGGGGCGCGTGCGCACCGCTGCTCAGCTGCCATCTAAGGAGGGGCGAACGGGCCGAAGAGGCGGGGTGTGCTCTGTTTTCGTTCCTTGGACGCTTGGGGGCGCCAGAGATGCGGGGTTCCGAGTCCCAGAACGTGACTCCACCCCGTCAGGGGCGGGGACCAGGGTGTACCAGTCTGGCTCCACTAGAGAGCTGGGGGGGTGGGGGGGTGGGGGGGGTGGGGGGAATCCAGGCAGCCCGGAGGAAGGAAGGCAGTGCCCACACCTGGGTCCAAGGTCCCTGGGCACCGGTGGACACGCATGGCATGCCGCCTAGGCCCAGGGAGCAGCCCTAAGGGCGCGTCAGCCCTCTGGGCCCTGGCAGTGTGGGATCCTGTCCACCCATTCGTGGGACAGGCTGCAGGCAGCGGCCTGACCCAGCCTCTGACTCACTCGCCTGGTGACCAAATAGCTGGAATCCTACACCACCACAGCCCAGCTTTCCCCGCCTCTGGCGATGGTCAGGAAGTCCCTCCCTACCTCACACTTCAGGCTGACAGAGGGTTGCTAGCGGGGGCCCCTAGAACTGGGACTGCCCTGGCAGGTCCTGATACTGGGCCCAAAGGCTGCCATCTCTCCCAGGTCCCTGCTTCTCTTAGGTGAGTGCCCTATGGCCCTGGTCCGCAGGGCGGGGCAGGGTGGGACTGCCCTTGCCCGCTGGCAATTCAAGGCCACTGGGACCCCCGGCTGGCACCCCAGAACTATTGAGCTCACTGGGGAGGGTTTCTGTGTCACTGGGTCCCAAGAGAAAGAGATCTGGCCCCAGGGGTGCTGCCCCCTGGCCCCACTGCCCGTTCTCCTCCATAGCTGGGGTGACTCAGCCCAGCACCCATGCCAGTCCGAGGCAGCTGAGAAGGGGAGGAGCAGGCAGAGCCCTGGAGTGCTCTGGAGGGAGGAGGAGCCCATAAGTGGGAGGGAAGACTTGCGGTTCACTGTCTCTACCCCCTGGAGAAACAGGAGAGCCAGAGAGGGGAGGGAGCCACTCCTCCTTGGCCGCAGTGGGCACACTGGACAGGGCCCTGGCCTGACCCCGGGACCACGGACAAGGCATGTCTGGGGCACAGAGAATGGGTTGTGGGCTGCGGCTGGGAATGTGGAATGGAGTGGGGGGTGGGGGGGGCAGAGCGGCGCCGGGAGAGGGGGGAGGGGGGCGGGGGCAGCTCACCAAAGGGCACACCCAGGGTGTGGCAGGTTGGTGCTGTACCAGGCAGGTGGGGTGCAAGGCCATGGAGAGCGGGTGGCCCTGTAAGACTCGAATGTCAGCCCTGAAGGCCCTCTCCGTGCCCCCAGACAGCCATGGCTCCCAAGCGCAAGCCCCCTGCGCAGTGTGAGGGCCCTGACGCAAAGAAGGGCCGGCAGGGGACAGAGGAGGACAACTTCCGCTCCACGGCGGAGGCCCTCAAGGCCGCGCCCACAGAGACGCGCACTGTCCGGGTGGACGCCTCCTGTCCTCTCAGCCACAAGCCTGGGGCCCAGGTAAGCAGTAGCCCCCAGCCAGGCCCGGAGCCTGCCCTCCTGGGTCAAGTACCCTCAGACCTGCTCCCCTCCCCACGGGGCTGGGCTCTGGCCACGGAGCTCAAAGGTCCCAAGTCAGCCTCGTCTCCAAGACCCTAAGGGTCAGACGGGCCATATCTCATCAGACCTGGGAAGCTGCTGTCTGCTCTTGTTTAAATTTATTTTTAATGTGTTTTTACTGATTTTGGAGAGGAAGGGAGAGGGAGGGAAATAGAAACATCAATGATGAGAATCATCGATCGGCTGCCTCCTGCATGCACCACACTGGGGATGGAGCCCACAACCTGGGCATGTGCCCTGACCGGGAATCGAACCCTGACCTACTAGTTGATAGGTCCACACTCAATCACTGAGCCATGCCTGCCGGCCAGGCTCCTATCTGCTCTTTAGACCACAGGGCAGGCCCTGGGCTTCTTAGGCCACCCCCTACCACACTTAAAGCCGGTCTCACCTGTGTCCCCTCAGACCAGCCCACAAGGGGAGGGCTGTGTCCCCCTGAGATCCTCCCAGGGCAGGGTCATGTCCCTGTGAGACCTCCCAGGCCAGAGCCTGTCTCCCTCAGTCCCTGCCCCAGAGGACAGCCGCATCCTGTCCTCCCAGAACCTCCCCCACTGCCCGAGGTGAGCCATGTCCCCTCGGACTCCAGGGGGCAGAACTATGACCCCCTCAAGCCTCCCCTGCCAGGGCCTCCTCTGCCTCCCGGTGCAGTCAGACCCCTGTGAGGTGCGGCCACCCGTGCCAGCCTGCCCTGCCCTGCCCCCTGGCCCAGGTGCACGGGGACTACGACTGCACCCTGAACCAGACCAACATCGGGAACAACAACAACAAGTTCTACATCATCCAGCTACTGGAGGACGGCGGGCGCTTCGCCTGCTGGAACCGCTGGGGCCGCGTGGTGAGTGCCTGCCCCCTCTCGCCTCCCCCTCCTCCCCCCCCCCACCACCCCCACCTCCCCCACCTCTCCCAGCTCCCCGCCTCTCCCAGCTCAGCACAGGCCCCAGCTGCCCAGGGACCCACCCCATACTCAGGCCTGAGGCCACAGAAGCTGATGTCCCAGGCGCCCAGCACAGGGCCTGGCACCACAGGCCAGCAAGCGCTATGGAGGCAGCACGGTGGGCACACCCCTGAAGGCTGTCAATTGCAGGGAGAGGGGGGCCAGTCCAAGCTCAGCTACTTCGCGTCCCTGGAGGATGCAAAGAAGGACTTCGAGAAGAAATTTAAGGACAAGACCAAGAACAGCTGGGCGGAGCGGGAGCACTTCGTGGCCCATCCCGGCAAGTACACGCTCATCGAGGTGCAAGGCGAGGAGGAGGCCCAGGAGGCTGTGGTGAAGGTGAAGTGGCCGCGGGGGAGTGGGCGGGCCCAGGGCTGAGGGAGGGGACGCGCGACCCAGCGCCCTGGGCTCTGCCACTGCCTCTCACCTCAGCCTGGCCCTGCCCCAGGTGCAGTCCCTCTCCGCCCAGGTGGACGGAGGCCCCGTGAGGACCGCGTTTCAGCGCGTGCGGCCCTGCTCCCTGGACGCACCCACACAGAGGCTCATCACCAACATCTTCAGCAAGGACATGTTCAGTGACGCCATGGCCCTCATGAACCTGGGTGAGGACCCGGGGCCAGGCCAGGCCGGGGTGTGGGGGGGGGGAGGGCCCGGGGGTGGCAGCGGGCTGAGCCTTCCCACTCCCCCCACCCCCAGATGTGAAGAAGATGCCCCTGGGGAAGTTGAGCAAGCAGCAGATCGCTCGGGGCTTCGAGGCCCTGGAGGCCCTGGAGGCGGCCCTGAAAGGCCAGGAGGACGGGGCTGGTGGCCGCAGCCTGGAGGACCTGTCCTCCCACTTCTACACCCTCATTCCCCACAACTTCGGCCGCAGCCGGCCCCCGCCCATCAACTCCCTGGAGCTCCTGCGGGCCAAGAAGGACATGCTGCTGGTGAGGCCGGGAGGGGCGGGGGGGCCAGACGGCGGGGGCAGGTGGCCCAGCAGGCAGCATGGACTGGGATGGGCAGGCCAGTGGACAGAGGACTGGGTGGGTGAGCAGGTGGACAGACGCGCGGGATGGCCACGGTCCCAGTCGTGTGGGAGGAGGGGGGTGGGGCGGGAGGACGCGTGGATGAGCCGCCGGTGCCGTCACCGTAGGTGCTGGCGGACATCGAGCTGGCCCAGACCCTACAGGCAGCCCCTGAGGAGGTGGAGGAGGTGACGCACCCCCTGGACCGAGACTACCAGCTCCTCAGGTGCCAGCTCCAGCTGCTGGACCCAGAGGCGACTGAGTACAAGGTGGGCTGGGCCTTGCAGAGCAGCTGGGCTAACCGTGGCACCATCCCTCTGCCCAATGGCCACGGTCCCTTGCCCTTGGCCTTCCTCCTCGTGTCTCTAGAGCTTGAGCTCTGAGAGCCCCGCCACTGGGGACCAGTCGGGGTTCACCCGTGCCTCCCGCTCTCCCCCAGGTGATCCACACCTACATGAAGCAGACGGGCGGCAGCCCCATGGAGCTGGTGCTACGGCACGCTTGGAAAGTGAACCGAGACGGGGAGGTGAGGGAGCCCCGAAGCCCTCCCCAGCCCTGCCCTGACCGGGGAGGTGGTGTCCTGGCTTAGGTGTCCCTGACTGAATCGTCTTAGCCACTGTGACCTGTCTCCACCGGGCCTGGGCTTGTGGGTGTGTGCATGAGGGTGTGAGTGCCCAGCGGGACCCAGGCCTCAGTCGGACCCCCGAGCCGGTGGGCACGGCTCTCCTGTTCCGTATCCCCCACCTCAGGGAGACAGGTTCCAGGCCCACTCCACGCTGGGCAACCGCAGGCTGCTGTGGCACGGCACCAACGTGGCCGTGGTGGCCGCCATCCTCACCAGCGGGCTGCGTATCATGCCACACTCCGGCGGCCGCGTGGGCAAGGGCATCTACTTCGCCTCGGAGAACAGCAAGTCGGCCGGCTACGGTGAGGCGCCCTCGGCCCAGCCCTGAGCAGCCATGGGGAGGTGGCAGAGGCCCGAGGCTGAAGGTGGACAGTGCCCTCACCAGGCCATAGGGATGGGCACCCAGGCCAGGGCAGTGGAGTGAGGAGAGAGTCCGTGAGGGACACGCAGGAGGGGGTAGCAGCTGTGGGAAAGGGCCCAGGGGTCTCTAGTGACCCGCAAGTTTCTATCCAGAGGTGTCTTCACGGGGGGACCTCAGCCAGGCTGACCCCGGCATTGGAACCACCCAGCACCCACCTGACAGCCAGGCCCAGGGCAGATGGGGAGAAGTTCTGGGAGGTGTGAGGTGGCCAAGGCCAGGGCCAAGGGGTCGGGCAGGGGGCAGAGGAGCCTAAGGAGGAGTCAGGGTGGCCGCAGGGGCGGTGCCGCGGTCGCAGGCCAGGGGTGAAGGGTGCGAGTGGCAGAGCGGCCAGGGAGAACCCCCCCCCCCGCCCCGCATCTGTCCTTGGGAGGCCATGGCCAACCTTGGGGAGGGCAGCCGGGGGGCAAGGCCTGGCCCCTGGAGCCCAGGAGTGGGAGGAATGGGAGGGAGTGTGGCCAGGACGAGGGGTGCTTTAAGGAGGAAGCGTGGGCAGCCTTTTGTGCTGGGGCCCAGGGAGAGGAGGTTCCCATGCAGCAGCCAGGGGCCCAGGGAGTCAGGCCGGGGCCCAGCTGCCCCGCCTGAGCCGCTGTGTCCCCCAGTTACCACCATGTCGTGTGGGGCCCACCGCATCGCCTACATGTTCCTGGCGGAGGTGGCCTTGGGCAGAGAGAACCACATCATGGCTGACGACCACAGCTTGAAGCAGGCACCCCCTGGCTTCGACAGCGTCGTCGCCCGAGGCCGCACGGAGCCTGGTGAGTCCCAGGCCTAGGAGTCTGCGCAGGCCTGGGCGGGGGAGGGGGCGCTGAGGGCCCAGGATGCTTTCAGGAGGAGGCAGCAGAGAAGGGGCTGGGGAGCAGCAGGCTTCCTCCCTGCAGCCATTCCTTGTCATCCAACAAATCATCCCTGGGTATCCAGGAGGGCTCAAAGAGGGTGTGTCATTGAGCATCAAAAGATGAGTAGGTGGCCCTAGCCAGTGGATAGAGCATTGGCCTTAAGGACTGAAGAGTCTCAGGTTCGATTCCCAGCAAGGGCACATGTCCACGTTGCGGGCTCGATCCCCAGTAGGGGGCTGCAGGGGGCAGCCGATCGATGAGTCTCTCTCATCATTGGTGTTCCTATTTCTTCCTCTCCCTCTCCCTTCCTCTCTGAAATCAATAAGAACATTAAAAAATTAAAAATTAAAAAGAGATGAGTAGGTGTCTCCCAGGCAAAGGAATGGAGGGGGTTGGCCCAGGAGAAGGCGCGGCCTGTGCCGTGGTTTGGAGGTGGGCAGGGCGGGAAGTGTGGGCATTCCCCGTGGCAGAAGAGCAGAGCATAGGAGCCGAACGTATCCCGGAGGCCAAGGACCAGTGACCCTCGGGTCACCCCTGGCCCTTGCTGTGTACGCAGATCCCACCCAGGACACGGAGCTGGAGCTGGACGGCCGGCGAGTGGCAGTGCCCCAGGGCCGGCCCACGCCCTGCCCCGAGTTCAGCAATTCCTCCTTCTCCCAGAGCGAGTACCTCATCTACCAGGAGAGCCAGTGCCGCCTGCGGTACCTGCTGGAGGTGGGCTTCTGAGAGCCGCCCTCACCCAGGCCCTGCCGGGGACAGACTGCCGTCTCAGTCTTCTCGCCCAGACCCGATGCCCATGTCACCGCTTCTGGCTCCCAAATCTCCCTTCTGTGTCCCAGGCAGTGGTCCCGCCCCCTCCAATCCCCACTAGCCCTGGCCTGGCTGTGGCCCCGAGTCTCGCCTGCTAAGGTGATAGGAGTGAGGGACTGGCGTTATCCCTGGGTCACATGCCGCAGCCTCTTCAGGGCTGTGTCGTTAGAGGGGCACAGACTGATGGTGTCAGACCCCTTACCCGCCCAGGCTGTCCACCAGGCCCAGCCTGTCCACCCCAGAGGTGTGACCACCAGTGGAGGCTGGACAGCGGGCAGCAAGTTTATTAAACACTGTCCACTCACCCCAGGCCCCGACTGTCTGTGCTGCGGCCGCACAAGCCTAAGCCCCTTCCTCTCCACAGTGACCCCCCCCCCCCCCAGCCCACGGCAGCTTGGGCCCCACCCACCCTGGTCCATCTGTGTCCGTCACTGCAACCACCCGCCGCCCCTGGTCACTGAGCTTTCAAAGGCGACCCTCACCATCCACTCAGACCTGGTGGCCACCTGGGGACCCACCTGGGGTCTGCCCGCTGGCCCGCACGTGGCCAGGCAAACCGAGCATCGCTCCTGGCTCGGCATCCACGTGTCTCAGATCTGCACGTTCTAAACCAGCTGAGCACACGCTGAGCGCCCAGCTCTGCCACCGTGAACGATGCCCGTGAGCACCCGGGGTCACCCTACCCAGACCCGAGGGTGCAGGTGCCGTGTCTGCTTCTCCAGCTCCAATCCAACACCACAGGGTCCCTTCCTTCTCCCCAGTCCCACACGCACACCTGCTTCTCTAACAGTACGCACCTCCGTTTCCGTCACCATCAGTCCATTTACTTGTTGGCTCCACCCCCCCCCGAAAAGGAGATGCAGAACCGCCAGCCCATGTCACCCTGAGCACACGCTTTCTGAGCGGGGCTCATGTTTCACGGTTATCCTTTTGACTTTAGATGAGCAGGGAGTTTGAAACAGGTGAAACATTGCTTGGATCCGTTACTTAGTGTTTCCTTTCGGTGTAGTGATGCCATTCATTTGAAATACAGGTAGGTTCCTCTGTCCTGCATCTATTCACCTTCAGGCGGGCTTTTCCTCATCTTCACTGACTTATTTTTTCCAACACACAGAACATTAACATAGTCCCAACTGCATCGTCCCCAGAGTCTAATCTAATCAAAAACAGGAGCTCAGAAGAGTCACCCCCTGGCCCTGCACGCCGCCCACCGGCTTCGGGAAGCCAGTTTCTGCCTTAGCCTTCATGTACTCCTTTTGGCAAATTAAAAAGCAGCAGTTACACTACAGTTTCAAGTTTAGCTGAATGACTTTGGAGGAGCAGGCCTGCTCCAGCCCCCCACGGTCCCCATCCCTCCTAGAGCCGCCGCCAGCTCGTTTTCTTTGCGCCGTTCCTGCCAGGCCTGCTGAGCCGGGTCCAGGCCCGGGTGGCTCAGCGCTGCCCCAGGCCTGCAGGCCTCACTGGGCAGGGAGACCAATGCCGTCTCCTCCCTCTGAACGCAAACCTCAGAAATCCAGCTTCACCTCCTGGAGGTGAACGCCCACACTCCAGCTGTGGATGCAGCTCCGGAAGCAGAGAGCCTGGCTTCCAGGTACCACGCAGCTGGATGATCAGGGACACATTCCTTCCCTGACCCGGCATCAGCTTACTGTCTGAATAATGGAGAACTGGGCTGGGCCCTTTAAATCCCAGCAGAGAGCCCTGACCGGTTTGGGTCAGTGAATAGAGCGTCGGCCTGCGGACTGCAGGGTCCCGGGTTCGATTCCGGTCAGGGGCATGTACCTTGGTTGCGGGCACATCCCCAGTAGGGAGTGTGCAGGAGGCAGCTGATCGATGTTTCTCTCTCATCGATGTTTCTAACTCTCTATCCCTCTCCCTTCCTCTCTGTAAAAAAATCAATAAAATATATTTAAAAATAAATAAATCCCAGCAGAGAGGGTGTCCAACCTGGGGGTCCATGCCCTAGTCTCCGCCGCCTACATCTGTCCCGAAGCTGACCGCGTGCCCGTGATGGTTCCCAGGGGCGCAAGCGTGAGCAAGACGTAGACAAGGTCCCTGCTCTTACGGGACTCACATTCCCGTAAAACAGGCTCTACACAAGCACATGCGCAGATAAGAAGCTCAGTATCAGGTGGGCAAAGCGCCAGGAAGGAAAGCAAAGCAGGGCAAAAGGAGTGGTGATGGGAAGGGGGAGCGATCCCAGGAGAGACGGACATTCGCCGAAGGCCTCTCTCCAGCAGAGACCTGGGTGCGGTGAGGGGCGAGCCGTGGACAGACCCGAGGGAAGGGTGTGCTGAGCCGGAACCCAGTCTGACACATGAAGGACCCGCAGAGGACGGCTCCGGTGGAGGGTAGGATAGGCGAGGAGGGGTGAGGTCACAGAGAGGGGATGCTGTTCTGAGGACAGGAAGCTCCTGGGGGGCTGCAAGAGGGTCACGCCCGATGTGACCTGTTAGAGCAGCGGTTCTCAACCTGTGGGTTGGAACCCCTTTGGGGGTCGAACGACCCTTTCCCAGGGGTCGCCTAAGACCATTGGAAAACACATATATAATTACATATTGTTTTTGTGATTAATCAGTATGCTTTAATTATGTTCAATGTGTAACAATGAAAATACATCCTGCATATCAGATATTTTCATTACGATTCATAACAGTAGCAAAATTACAGTTATGAAGTAGCAACGAAAATAATTTTATGGTTGGGGGTCACCACATGAAGAACTGTATTAAAGGGTCACGGCATTAGGAAGGTTGAGAACCGCTGTGTTAGAGGGACCCGCTTCAGCTGCTGTGCAGACAGTGGACTACAGGGCGGGTGTCAGTCAGCAAAGCAGAAACCACTCTCGGAATCCCAGACAAGAGGAATCAGATCCAGGAAAGGAACGAAACTCACAGGGGACGGCGAGGCCACCCAACGATGAGCAACCGTGGAAGCTGCCACCACTCTGAGGTTGGATCGATCATGGAGGGAAATGGTATCCCAGTGTCCAGGGGCCAGGGCCACCCGCAGGCGCCAGAACCACAGAGAGGGCTGCCCGAAGGAGCGAAGGATCGAGGTGGAGAGCCCCGGCAGAGCCAGAGCGCGAGAGAGGAGTACGCTGGCTCCTCCCGCCTCCCACCCTCCACTGTCCTGCTCTGGACTCCAGCTCCTGCCTGCTCTGGGCCCCTCACAGCACAGCCTCCAGCCTGCAGCTGGCAGCTGCTAGGACCAGGGGGCGGGTGCCAGGCCCTGCCCCTCCCTTGCCAACTCCGGGTCTGTGAAGGGCCACATCAGAGTGACAGCCAGTACCATCTCCAGCAGGGGCTGAGCTGCTGGGGCAGTGGAGAGAGCCACAGTCCCAGCCTTGCACCCCTCCATGGGGCTGGCCAAACCCCCGAGAGGATGGGGGCCTGGGCAGCAGAGCCAGAGCCTGGGCAGCCTATGAGGTGAGCGGCCAGAGGAGCAAGAGGCAGGGGATGGGAATGGGGGGAGGGGGCCCTCCCATTTCGCTCTCTGCATCCCCACCCAGGGTGAAGCCTGAGCGCTGGATGGCCAACACCACCGGGCTCCTCCAGGCCACCGAAGTCGCAGGCTCCATGGGGTTGATCCTGGCGGCCATCGTGGAGGCAGCAGCCCTGCTGGGCAACGGCGCGCTGCTGGTGGTGGTGCTGCGCACGCCGGGCCTGCAGGAGGCGCTCTACCTGATGCACCTGTGCATCGTGGACCTGCTGGCGGCCGCCTCCATCATGCCGCTGGGCCTGCTGGCCGCGCCGCCGCCCGGGCTGGGCCGCGTGCGCCTGGACCCCGCGTCCTGCCGCGCCGCGCGCTTCCTCTCGGCCGCGCTGCTGCCCGCCTGCACGCTCGGGGTGGCGGCGCTGGGGCTGGCGCGCTGCCGCTTCATCGTGCACCCGCTGCGGCCCGGCGCGCGGCCGCCGCCCGGCCTGGTGCTCGCGGCCGTGTGGGCCGCCGCCGCGCTGCTGGGCGCGCTCGCCCTGCTCGGGCCGCCGCCCGCCCCGCCCCCGGCCCCGGCCCGCTGCTCCGTCCTGGCCGGCGGCCTCGGGCCCTTCCGGCCGCTCTGGGCGCTGCTGGCCTTCGCGGTGCCCGCCCTCCTGCTGCTCGGCGCCCACGGCAGCATCTTCCTGGTGGCGCGCCGCGCGGCCCTGCGGCCCCCGCCGCCCGCGCGCGGCGCCCGGCTGCGCTCCGACTCCCTGGACAGCCGGCTCTCCATCCTGCCCGCCCTGCGGCCCCGCCTGCCCGCGCGCAAAGCCGCCCTGGGGCCCGCGCTGGCCGTGGGCCAGTTCGCCGCCTGCTGGCTGCCCTACGGCTGTGCGTGCCTGGCGCCCGCCGCGCAGGCCGCCAAGGCGGAGGTGGCCGTCACCTGGGTCGCCTACTCGGCCTTCGCGGCGCACCCCTTCCTCTACGGCCTCCTGCAGCGCCCCCTGCGCCGGGCGCTGGGCCGCCTGGTGCGCCGAGCCCGGCCGCGGCGGGACTGCGCTCCGCGCACCTGGCACCCGCGGGCCCTCCTGCGGCGCCTCCGGGGACCTGCAGACGGCCCTGCCCTGGGACCTGCTGAGGCACCAGATCAAGACCCGGACTTGGCAGGAGGGGGGACCCTCCGCATGCCCAAGGCCACCGGAGAGGGGATCTGACTCGCACTGCACTGGGCCGGAGCAAGGGGGTGGTATCACGGGGACCATCCAGCCTCCTGCCTAGGTTTCCGGCTCTGGGACGGGGAAAGGGGCCCTGCAACCTGGGAGGCCCAGAGGCTTCTGGGAGCTAGGAACCCTGGGTTCTGGGCTTAACTCAGAGCACAGTCTTCGTTTCTCCCATCTGCACCCTGGACCATCTCTCAGGGCCTCTCAGCTTAGGTGGCTGGTCCTCAGGCCACGGAAGGAGCAGAGGTGGGCAGGATCCCCAGGGCTCACAGCCGAAGGGAAGGGATGGGCCAGGCAGGGCGGGTCTGGGTTCCGGCCACAACAGGAGGAACCAATGGAGAGACTCAGAGAGACACCCCTGACATCTGCCCTGAAGAGGCCGACAAGTCCCTGGAGCGCCTCTCTCCGCCTCTAAAATGCCCGGCAAACAACCGGGTCCGTTCCGTGCTCGAGGCAGGAGGCTGGACGTGTCCCCCCGAGGGTCCCGCGGGCCCAGAACTCCGGGCTGGTGGGTTCACAGATGGGGTCCTCTGGGGCTGCCCACGCCCGTTTTCTGGAAGTTTTGCCAACACCCACAGTGTTTCACAGCTTCCTGGTTTCAGAATATTTATTCAAAAACAGGGATTGAAAAAACTGTACAGAGTGTCTGCTGCTGAGAGCTCAGCCCTGCCCCGTGGGACCCCCCCAGTGGCCTGGCAGTGCCCCCTCCTTGGGTGCCCTCTGCCAAGCCCAGCCAGTCCATTCCAGTCAAAGGGTTATCCGTGGAAGCGGCAGGAATCTGCGGGGAGGTGGGGAGAGAAGCATGGCCCCCGGCCCATCCCCCCAGCCCTCCTCCCTGATCCCCACAAGGGGGCTGTAGGCTGGGAAGCCCTAAGGAATGGGGAGTGCATGAGTGACCCCCAAAGTGGGGCACTAAGGATGCTCCCTGCACCCAAGCACAGAGCTAGAGGGGTGGAGCCCCCTACCGGGGACTGCGCAGCCCCCCAGAACCCTGGGCCAGAAACTGCACCCACTCTGAGCACAGGGGCCCCCACAGAGCGGGGCCAGGCAGGGTGCATCCATGCTTCTGAGCATTAGTGGTGTGTGGGGCCCCGGGCTGGGGTCTCCTCAGGCAGGCGGGGCACAGGGGCAGCCCCAGCCGGTGGTCCTGCCTGCTCCCGCGTCTGCGCCTCAGCGGCCTCAGTAGGGCGAGAATTTCTGCCGCTCAGCTTTCTTGCTCCCATTGGCCGCTGCCATCTTGGCAGTGTAGGCCGCCAAGCCGGGCGGCGGCCCTGGGGAGGCAGGTGGTAGAGCCAAGAAGGGCACAGGCTTGAGGCCGATGAAGTTGGACAGGGAGATGGCGTAGGGCGTGCCCAGCAGGCCAGGGGGAGCCGTGGGCAAGGCCGTCAGGGGCGGCGAGAAGGGGGTAGACAGGTCTGCGGGGGCTGAGCTGGGCGTCCCCCCAGAGGTAGACTTGGCCGTTTCTAGACTGGAGAGAGGGATATGGGGGGAGATGAAGGAGACGGTGGGGACAAGGAGGGCAAGATCAGGAGACGGGAACGGAGGAGAAGATGGGACAGGGGGAAGGGCACGGATGGAAGAAAGGACAGCAGACATTGTACGGGGTGAGGGGAGCAGCGGGGAGGCCCAGGGCACAGAGCAGATGA